TTGTTCAAGTTTTTCTACTCTTCTACTTCTCTATGTGTATTTTTGCTTTTTGAATCTCTTTTCTTAGTGTACTAAAGAGTATTAATTAGTGAGTTTGATAGTTTTTCTATGTAGTGACCTTTAGCTCGATTTTGTGACCAGATGATCTACAGAGAGAGTTCTTGTTTTAATGAGCAAAAACTCTATATAATAAGAGTAACTATAAATAAACTATATGTAATATATAAGATAAATATAATTACTGTTTTATTTTAAAAACTATAGCTTTTCAAATATGTAAAACTAATTTAAATCTATTCAACTTAGTTCTAAAATAATAACTTATCTTATTATAATATAAATATAACTTTTAATTCTATTCATATCTGCCAATTTGAGTAATTTATAAATAGAGTTTATTTTTTAAAAATTTTAAAGCTAAATAACTTTTGATCCACTAGTCTATTATAAATAATTTACTACTATAATGTTTGTCTCTTTGAGACAATTCTAATAAGCTCAAAATCATTAAAATCTAATCACAGGATTACGAAATAATGCATTGTCAAATAGTGACGCATCTAGATAGCGGGGTTTATTAGTTAATCATAGGTCTAACCAATCAACCCCATCTTCTAGGTGCGTCACTATTTGACAGTGCATTATCTCGTAATCCTGTGATTAGATTTTAATGATTTTGAGCTTATTAGAATTGTCTCAAAGAGACAAACATTATGGTAGTAAATTATTTATAATAGACTAGTGAATCAAAAGTTGTTTAGCTTTAAAATTTTTAAAAAATAAACTTTATTTATAAATTACTCAAATCGGCTCGTGTTTAAAAATTTTCTTTATTTCAATTAACAATTATATGATTGTACAAAAAAAATAGAAATGTTTTTAGAGTAATTTATATGTATTAGACTTCTTTTTCAATTATATTTTTACTTAATTGTATTCTCAAAAACTCTCTAAAAAAAGAAAAAATATAATTTAGATTTGACTGTATATAAACTTTATTATATCAAGTAAAGAGTTAATAATAATAGCAATAAATTTAAAAAAAATCTTTCACTATATCAAGAGTTCACAATCATCAAAATATAATCATTTAAGAACCTATTCGAATTTTATAGAACATAAAAATGTTAGCATTTGAGATATTTTCAAATTCAACAACTTGTATAATTCCATTGTTCTTAAGTTTTGAGATTAAGTTATTATCGAGGTGTTTCCATTTAAAAGGCTCATTTTTACGGATTTTTTGATATATACATCAATAAAAAAAAAAAGATTTGCTATAGGTTACAAGAACTGTTTATTTGATAAAATGATCTATAAAATAACATTTTAAATCGAAAATTATATGTATTCTTATTTGTAGATTATTTTTTAAACCTGAATTACTCGAAATTGTCAAAATGTAAAATGGGTGGGATAGCGTAAATTATTTCAACAAAAAATGCTGTGGCTACGCCAGAAGTAACATCATTATTGGCCAGAAATAATAGCGATAATTGCCAAGCCGAAATTGCTATCGTACGTAGGAAAATAACGGAAAATAATGGATAAAAGAATTCTGGATATTCTACTTACATTGGTTTTTTTTTTTTTTTGAAAAAATGTCGTGTCATTTATCAAGAAATTTGATTGGATATCTACTATAAATGATATTACGTACAACTTTGCCGTTCGATTTTTATGCTTTCTGCAAATTTGAAAGTTGTATTTATATAGTTTTCACGAAAAAAGACATATTTGTATACAAGAATAGTCCAAATAATGCGCATGCACTTACTGCCTTTCACAAACAAATAATACCATAAGAGAATAATAAATAAATAAATAAATAAAATTATAATAACGAATTATTAATTTTTATTTTCACAAAAAAGAAATAACAATTATTGTTTTCTTAATAGGGAGTATACAACTAAAAAAAAAAAAAAAAAAGATCATAGATCTAACACACGCAATAAGATGTGACACAGAAAAAAATGTATATCGATATAATATCATAACGATAAAAGTCTTGTCAGCCTGGGCTGAATAGCGGCAGAATATTACATACGTGTAATATATTTGAAGAGAAACTATTTGGATTAACAAAAAAAGAAATTCTTTTCCGAAAATATCGGTAATTGGCGTATGTTGGTGAAATGTCCTACCAGGAAATGCCTTTTTTCTTTCATACAAGCTCTTATGTCATCAAAGGTCGCACGGTGGCAAATATAAAGTCGGCTTGCTACAAGTATGTGGCCTGTGCGACAAGAAAAAAAAAATTTTTTTTCTTTGTTATGTCCAATTTGCATTAAAGCAATTAAAAATTCAATTGTTCCTTTTTTGCAAAAAAAAAGTCTTCTGGCATCATTTCATGCTTGAAGCGTAAGCCAGATCACATGACATACGCCATTAGCTTTATTTTTGGAATAAAATAATGATCACGAAGACCACGCGAGCACGAAATAAACAAACATAAACTATGTAATATACGTAGACACGCACGCGCTGTGCATGAAAAAAAAAATTTAAATGAAGACGGACGGATTTTAAATTGATATAAAGATATGAAACGTACCATCTCCTCAACACATTTCCAAGCCATTTCCTACATAGCAATTAGATACACTCATTTTTTTATTTAATCTATTGGTGTAATTGATATTCCCCTTTATTACAAAACGATTCGTCCTATAATGAATTATGAATACCCGCATTCCATTCAATTCCCGCTAGTGGTAGCTCCAACCTGTTTTCGTAATTATGGACTTTGTCCTGAAAACTGTTCAGCGGGACTCCACTGTTATGATGGCGATATACAAGGGCTTTTATACCACCTATGTATGAACTGTGATACTCATAACCTTTATTTCTACCCAACATCAACATTCGCCTTACAGTTGCCTTTAATAGCTGTACAAGAATTACCTGTAAAAAAAATTATATTAGTACTAAGCCTGTTGGAACAACTTAAATTCCGACTTGATATTAAAGATCAACATGAAGGCCGGACTGTATTCCTCGAAGCTTGCAGTCGATTAATGAAAAGAGATGAACAATATGCAGCGGAATTCCCAAGTTTAGTCGATTGGTTTCTTTATAGTATGAAATTTAACGTAAATGAGAAAGACAATGAAGGTTGGACTTCGTTACACTTCATTATGGAATTGAAGCACGAGGAATTCGTAATTCCTATTTTAAAGAAACTTCTCCAACATGGAGCCGATCCAACCATTGAAGATTATAATGGGTTTAATCCTCTCGGATACGCGGTCTATAAACGTGAATTAAGGATTGTGCGATGTTTATTGGAAAATATACCAGAATTCCAACATGCAAATATTATAAAAAGAGCCATTTCTAAGACTGGTATTTTCAGCGAAAAAAGAAATTACTTACGTACTTGGTTACAATCGCAAACTTAAGACATGAACATAATATGAAATATGTTAATACTAAGGCATGTGGCACGTTTAAGATAGTAAGATCAAATATTATAACATTAAGCGATTTGAATTAAAAGAGAGAGACTATTATTACACAATAAAATTAAGCTTTTTAAATTTATGAATTAATTTATTTATTGTTACATGTTTCATGTGAATCTCTGTCGTTTTACGATTTTTTAGCTAAATCGCATCTTAATGGTTTCTTTGTCAACCAATCTCTTATACTATAAGATAAATCATCAACCTCATCATTTTGTTTTTGTGGGCAATTGTCATCAGTATCCTGCCAATTTATACTGTTACTATCAACAAATTCATGATTTTCTATTATTAATGTTTGATCGGTAGATCCAAATTGTCCAGATACGAGTGTTGTTCCGTCTACAGAAAATAACGTAGAAACATTTCTTGAGGATAATGAAAGGCGTTTTGTGGCTTCAGAAATCGAATTTCGTCTTTTATCCACGTGATGTGATTTTGGTGCGCGAATATTTGCGGTGTTTTCGTGATCGTTCGTTTTATGTATTGTCATTTGATGCAACTCCACGGATTCTGTTATGTATATTGGTTCGGTAGAAATTTGGGTTATGTTTCGGCATGGAGAGAAACGGCGTGACTTTTTTCCAAATGAAACGTGTTGCTTTATGTAACTAAGGATATTGATTAATAATATTAATATTTGTAAAATACGCACCTAAAAATTTTTTTAATTTAAAACATACTAATAAATATATATTAATTGCACAATGTTCGCGAAGATGGGTATGAAAAAATGCCAGAGGAAAAAGTATAATATGTTCAAGACTTTCTTGTATATTATCACGGATCTGTAGAAGAGACCAAATGATAATGTTTCTACAAAGTGGATTGCGAATATAATCGCACCACATTTTACGATCCATGAAAGCTATCGTAAAATTGATTGTTAATTTATTATAAAAAAAAATAATGTTAATAAAGGGCGTACTCACGATTTGTCTGGTAATTTGTAGTTCCTGTACTCGAAGTTCATCGACATGCCTTCGTCGCATTAGGTCGACATAACCTCGCATATTAAAAACTAAGTTGTGGTAAGCGTATAATAAAATAACCACGAATTGTAGAGTCCACAAACACCAAGCTAAGGAATTTATCATTAACATACGCGACGCTTCTGAAACGTCGTTCTTGTCTGCATAATAGCCTGTGAGTAATGAAAATGGTACATTCGTTATAAATGGCGCGATGATTAACCAGAATGCGAAAATATTATGATTATTTGGCTTCCATCGAGTGTTCATCGCATACGACGATTGAGTTTCAGGTGTCGAATATACTGCAAAGACGATCGTTAGTGACTACGAAATGTCCAAGCAGAATTATTTATTATATTATCAAACTTACTTATGCTAATGGGGACAACCACTGCTAAGGAATAACCAATAAATCTTGAAAGATAGCAAAAAAACTTTTCAATGTAAAGAAATTTATAAGCATTTATGTTAAAAAAAAAAGTAAATATATTATATAAAAATATATATACTTCTGCATAGATCGAATTTGGGTAACCGTCGTTAATTAACAATAATAAACAAGTCGCCTCTATCAGATGATAGACGCATACGACAGTGTTGAAAGCATCTTTGGGTTTTATCCATTTAAAACATCGTTCTCTTGATGAAGGATAAAATATTGATTTACGCTTTATAAATACTTGATTAAAAATAAATGCTGCGGATATTAAAGATGTAATAAATAAATAGGGCACAAGTATTAAACTTATATGTTGAATTAGGTTTTCTTCTTCGCATCCTTTTATATTTATTCTAAAGTCACAAACACATTTATTTCGAAGTTCTGTCGAATTACAGACTAGCGCAAAGTGGTTTCGTAATTGCACCATTAGGAATCAAAATTATTGTAATTATTGCCTGTATTAATTGTAGAGAATTGCATCCTAAAGTTTGTGATAAGTGATATCATATGACGTATTTAAGTATTCGCCAAGGTTTGGAGCAGTGGAACACAAAGTGCAAGAAATTATTGCATTCAAAGAAGGGCTCGAAGGATTGAGAACTGAGTAACAATAGCCTTAAACTTCCAAGGTTATTTTTAAAATTATTTCGTGCCACAAATGACTTTGCGGCTATTTATATGGTTTGTGTATAACTTTTTTCTTCTGGATATAAAATATAACCAATTTAATCCTTACCGATAATGTTTAGGAGATCTTGACTTAATTTACATTTTTTTCAATTCATCTATACTTGTGACCCCCAAATTATAGCTATAAAGTAATTAAACTTTAGGTTTTTCAATATAGTGTTTCGGAAAGAGTTTGGGTCACAAATATAGTTCAATTCTGTTCTAAAGTTTGGAAAAGCATGAATAGAAACTTGTTTTGTTCCTATCGAATGCCTATTAAAGCCAAGATGTTTTTTAATAAGAACTATAAGTACTCTCCTCGTATAGTACCCTTCTCTTTACACAGTACCCCGGAGGTACTTTATGCGGCACTTTACGGTCTTACAGTAATATGTACTCCAGAGATCTGAAGCCTTACTATGCCTAAAAGTCCCAAAAAATGACCGAATATCGTTTTGTTTTTTTTTACTTGATAAACTTAATAGAATATGAACAAAATAATTTAGTTACTTAAGGTGACTGGCAATGCCAATCATTAGCATGCTACTAAGTATATGTATCACATGTATTTTATTCTGTTGATGTCTATAATACATATTTTACTACTTGAGTGATCAATATATATGAAAAAATTGCATTTTTATAGCAAATTACAATTGTAGATTTTTTTTTAATTACTGTTTTTAGCTGTTAGCGACAATCTTGATCCTTGATTCTTTGCACTTTATCATTTGTCCTCTGTTGTTTCAAAGATACCTTGATCTGTGATGAACAACAAGTGTTCGTAGCAAAATTATGAATATAATATTAACAAGAGTTAATATAATTTTAACGGAATTCGCATCATAATTTTATTATATTACCGACGAGTAAAATACGCTATCCGTTCTAGCAATCTTGCTAATTCTCTTTGTACATAGCGAACTCCAGTATTCAACGTTATTTTGTAGCAAAATTAGAAGCAATAATTATTTCGAATATTTACATATCTAACTAGTTTCAAAGTCATTTAGGCATTCTAGAACTTAATAGATAATTTAGCGGCATTCTTTGTGGACCATCTTGTTAAACATGGGACGATGCAAATGAAAATTTTGGGTTGAAATTTACTGTACTGTATATATCAAAAATATCTAATATACTGTTCAAAATTAAAAAAAATTTATACCGTTTTACTTAATAAGTTCTAAAAATATATAAGTAATAAAAATTTGAAAATCATGAAGGCAAATTTGCCTGTGAAGATCTACAAATTAAGGAATAGCTTGTTGTATATTTATATAATTACAAATAGTAGAGATTACTTATGTATAATAATATATACAAATTAATAAAATTTTTTTAGTGATATAAGCTACTTTAATAATAAAAAAATTAAATTCAATTTATATTTTTTTTTTTTGTTGTTAAAGGTAGTTTATATTGCTAAAGAAATTTTATTAGAGTTGCAAACAAGATTATATATTAATAATTTCTACTATTTAGATTACATGAAAAGTATATAACAAGTCACATATACAATTTTAGTTATTGTCTATTTTAAGTAGTCTATTACACAGGCATTAGGTTATCTGATTAGTTCTACACTATATTGTCATACTTGTAATATGTCTATGAGTTATTTATTTAAATATTCTGTTTATTAACTTATATAGATCTAATTTAATATTATTTTAATATCTAATTGCTTAAGCTAGCTAGTTTGTTATAGATCTATTTATTTAGAACAGCTTAGATTCTCTTAGAATATATTATATCTAACATATTTGTTAGTATTGCAAAGTCAATTAATCTCAAAATAAACTTACTAGAATAGTCTGTATCTATTTTACAAATTTATCTAAATTAAACTCTTGTAGATATTTGTATAATTTTAGGTTCTATTATAGTTTTCTACTAGTCAGTTAACTTAGTTCTTTTCTAGTATCTAGCTAGTCTTAAGAGAGATGTCATTTATCACCTGATTTTTTTTATTTAAAAGCCTACTCCCCCTCTCTCTCACCTGATAGTATATATAAAAATTTTATATATGGGTAGTTTGAGATTTAGTAGATTCCTAAGGGTTTTTACTAGATTCAACAATTGTGTAATATCAGTATTTCAACTCTAAACTTATATATTACTGGATTAAACATGAATCATAATTAGATATGTATCAGATGATATTATATTACGTATATACTAAAATACCTAAGAATGCATAGTTATTAGATAAAATCTGTTCTAATATTGTATCGAATTTAAAAACATTCATCCAGAAATTCCAAGAATTTATCCAAATCTAGTTAGAAATCTTTCAATTAGTTTAACTATATGCATTAGTTCAAAAATGCTTCAATGAAGTAGTTTAAACAAGTTTAGAATATAGCAAACCTGAGTAATATAGTTACAAATAATAATGATAAGCTATACATTTTTACTATATATAGTATATAAAGAAAATATGATTTATTTAGCTTAAAACAAGATGAAATACTATACTGTATGTATTTTCATACTCATGCATTCATTTTAATCATCTTTTCTGATGATCTATTCTTATTTATCAGAATTTACAGTAAAACATTCTACAAGATAATTTCAAAAATACATATATGCAGATTTAGACTTTCGATAACAGCCAATATTGCATTAAAATCAGACTCAAATTGTTAATTTGAGAATCTGAATTATCAACATACGATAAGTAAGCATACATAAGCATATATGTATTATACATATATGTAGTACATTATACATTAGGTGTGCTATATATTTTAGAAATCAGATATATACGTAGTATTATTGCAATAATAATCTAATAATCCACTATCACTACGAATTTAAAGTTATATGTAGTCAAATATTTTTTTGGTCACCTAGTATATACTAATAACTAAACAAGTCTTCTAATGTTATCGCAAAAGAACTTGTTAGTTAATAAACTAAGTATATACCTTAATATAAATAAAATTACTAAATTCAATTTATCTTTAAAAAAATAAAAAATAAATAAATTAATAATTAATTAGCAACTCTCATCATATACAGAAAAACTCAAAGAACAAAAAATTTATATTAGTAAAATCATATTCATATAATAAAATCACAGATCAAACTCTTTATAGCTACGATAGTCTTTAAATATCATTATTATACTTATCTTAGTATATTGAGTTGATCAGAATTAGAATGTGCTTATAACATAGTAATTAGGTAGCCTTGAAAATTCTTGTTTTCTACTTTACGCCTCTTACTGATGCATCATAATAAATAATTTATGCATATTATGTGAACACTAACTGTATAAACACTACACAGGTTTTCTCCTATTACAACAACCAATATTTATCTTAAATGTGATTAATACACATATTTATAAAGCCCAAAATCATTTGTTAGTAGTATAAAATTCAAATGCAAACCTTTTTATCTGCACCAAAGCTCGACAAAAAATATGTATATTCAGATCCAGACAACACATATCAACATTTTGTCAATGCCTATGTTTTCTATAAAATAGCATCAACTAGAACACCAGATGTAAATAAAAATAAGTTATGTAAAGAGGCAGCCACAGAATGGCATTCTATAAAAAAAAAAAAGAAAAGGATATTCAAGCAAAAATAATAGAATATTTAAATACTCCAGTACAATTGCATAGTTGTATTACAGCTTCTACATCCCATAGGCAGCTTTCTTAATCTCCTTCTCAATCTCCTTCTAGCAATCTACAATAGCCACGAGTCTCTACTATAACAGAACCTGGAAACCCAATTCGTAATAATGCAGTAGCACAAAAAAAAAGTTTTGAAATGATCAAAAAATTAGAAACAGAATTATCTGAATTAGAGCAAATAGCCGCAATAATGACTAATTCTCAGTGCTATAACAACCTTAACTCTCAGATAGCTAAAATTAAAAAGAAGATTACTGAAGAAGAAGAATGGCTTAAAAAACTCAAAAGACATGCATCTAGTCAACAAAAATCTCAAATAAAAAAATCAAGAGCACTTAACGATGATAGCGTTGTTGTAATATATGACTCTCTCAGTCGTCTGCCTCTTCTTTTTCAACATCCAAATCTTCATGATCAAATTCACAGTTGTATAGAATTTGGGGAAGCTGATGCATGAAGAAGATGTGAAATTATTAAAGTTAGGACCGTAAAGCATCTCTGAAGTGCCTTAGAAGAAAACTATAATGTATATATGTCCTGTACTAGTATGAGAAATTACATTTTACCTCATTCAAACCATAGCTTGGCAGCTAGAACCTACTACTATCCCACTTTCATTGGAATCATTAGCATTTCAAGAGATGATATGAGGAACTATATTGATGAGCATTACTGTCTTGCATCTGTAAAAAATGCAAAACAGTTTGCTATAACTTTTGCTGACTTCACTGTAGTGCTCTCTCAAGATGACAAAGTGAAAATTCCAGTCAATATTCTAGCAGTAGGAAAACATTTTCAGGCCATGCAATCTATTAACGAACCAGTATCTGTTTCTGATCACGATTTCCCTATTGGTGTGTCACAAAAATTAATACCGTCTGTATATTTGATGATAAATCCCAAAGAAACAAATGAATCTTTACAACATAGTCAATTGTCAATCTTTATTAGAGCTCAATAGCATCTTAGTTCAACATCTGCTTTACATATGACAGACATCGTATCTTTAGTCAGTAATGAAAATTTCTTTGCAATTTTTAAGTGTAACAATGAGGTCAAGCCCCTATGGGTTATTATTGTGGACAGTGGACCTAACGAAAATCCTCGTCATTTAAAAAAAGTTAATTAATACTGTAAGTTATTTCGATACTTAGATTTAGATTACTTCACAGTTAGAATATACGTGCTAGATCAATTGGCGTACAACTCTGTCAAAAGGAGTATGGCTACACTTTCAGGTAGGGTTGTAAAATTAATATAATTTTAGTAAGTTTCAGTAAATTTGTTTTCATGTAATTGATAATTTTGAAACATGAGATATAGTTTCTGGAATCATATATTTAAATATCGTATGCCACTGCTTACAGTATCCCCAAAATAATACCCCATGATTAAGATTAAGACCCAGGGTATAACTACATTGATTTACTATTTTTAATAGATATATCCCCAAATATAAAACACAGTACCCACAGGGCTATTAAATTTTTAAAAATTGAATTCTTGAATAAGGCCCTGAGTACTGTAATTAGTAGCATGCAGTAGATGATTTGATTTACTGAAACTTATGTAAACTTACATAAAATCTATGTATTGTAAGATTGAATTTTCATAACATAACTATATTTTCAGAAAAAATTGCAGGAATTACATTAGAAATCGATCATTTTGGAAATCATTTAAACTCATAGAATGAAATTTGTGATTATGAATTAGAACTTCGTAACTTTCAACATGCTGGCCAGACTCTTGCAGATTTATGGAGAAGAGACCCCATTCATGAAAACCTGTATATGTCAAATACGTTGATATAGAAAGCAATCTATGTACTGAAGTTGAATTCACAACATCAAAAAAAACAAATACACCAAGTTTAAAAGAGGATGATTCACCTGTTCCTTGGTTATGAATTGAGTCACATTGTCAAATTTGTAGATACTCTCTTGATATTAGAAAGTGCAACGATTTGTTATGTTGTATTCCAAAACGAGCTAGTGATACCACTGCATTCCTAGGTGAAAATAATGGTTTCTTACCTCTAATAATTAAAATTAAAGACAACCATTACCTTGACGCCATATACACGCTTCAATACTTCAACCATTTAAAAATTCCTACATATGATACGCATCTTCCTTCTCTTTCCTCTGAAGATCACTCAAGACGATGTTGTAAATTATGTAGTAAATACTTCCCTACAATGGCCATACTTGCAAAACACAAAAAAACTATCTATTCTAATACGCGAACTCGATGTTCAGATCAGTGATCTCAAGCCAATTCAGCAACTTTCAATGATTTTTCTCTGTTATCTTCATTATCTGAAGTCTGGCTACAGATTGTAATCATGCAGTCTCAATCCCTTTCTGATATTGAATAGGTATTTTAGATACAAAAATTAGTAAATTATTAACGCAAATAACTCAAATAAGAAAAATAAGTTTTCTATATAAATATAAAAACTTTTTTATATCGGTATTAGTATAAAATCAAATAAAAAATATATATATCTGTAAACTTATACAATTATATATGTAGTCAATATTAAAATTTACATGAACACTGTAAACATATGATTTCCAATAGGAAGGTAGAGGATAATGATCAGGTTATATATACACTAGAGAGGGTATAGAATAGTGATCAGGTTATATACAACTAGAGGAGGTATAGGATAATGATCAGGTTACACACTAGAGGGGTGATTTGATTATATAATTTAGTATATTCGAAATTTTCCAGAAGTATAGCCGGATTAGCTAATATTTTGTCTGATTAGCTGATGTAAATTAATTGCCCAGGTAACTTATTTATATGTTATATAGTACTTTTTTAGAATTAAATGTTTTATCACAAAAGCTATTTTCAGCTTTGAACAAATGCTAATATACAAAAGAATCTTACTCCTCATGAACTTTGCTTAGAAGACAAAATATACTGTCGCCTATTGGACCGTAGAAAGTTATACTGTAGAGTAAGGTAATTAAAAAGATTTTTTTGCTTAAGCTGTTTATTATGTTATATTCAAATAAACTTTTATTACTAACTGTTTAGTTTGAATAAGTGCAAGCTTTTAATAGCAAGTAATGATAATAGATCCAATAAATTTAATATATGTAATTTAATATCATAAATACAAATCACTCTCATTACAGTGAACTCGATATAGTAAAGATCTTGATATAGTAAAGAATTTTTTTAAAATTCACTGCTATTATTATTAACTCTTCTATCAATATAATAAAGTTTATATAGTATTCTCTCGATATAAGCTATAGTAAAGTTTTTTTTTCTCAGCCCGATCACTTCACTATAATGAGAGTGACTTGTACTATAAACTTATATT